ATAAAGACAACATTCTTATGAGTAAAATGAAGTAAAATCTTTGTCAATTAGTCGATTTACAACTCAGAAAAGAAGTGTTGAAAATAGAGTCATAAAACAATTAACGTTTATTGACTTTCGCGGTAGGGGGTAACGCGGGGTCGGTTGACAAATTTTCTCGCAGTAGTGCAAAAGTTCTACTCACTTCGCTTGAAAGTGTCATATTTCTTCCCCACTTACAAACAAACCCGATGGCAATCGGTGAAACGGGAGATAAATTACAGCGAGTTGAAATTTGATATGTTTATTTTTTTGCGTTTTTCGTATCGAATTACATAAAAATAAATATTAAAAAATTAATTTTGTTAATACGCAAGTAATTTATATCACTAGATAGAAAACAAAGCGCAGAATCAAACAAAGAAACTGTAGTTTTTTTATGAGATAGATAAAATTGAATTATTTCATATTAAAAACACTGGGTCTGAAAGACCCATGCGACTCAAGTAAGGGCTACATTCCTAGCGACTTACGCGGGGTTAAATAAAGCGTTGTTTAAATAATTGAAATTTTTTTTACAGTGAGAAGTCCAGTATTTTCTCATCTGAGTGTATCTCTTTACGGACTAACAACAATTAGAGCATTTAATGCTGAAAGCAAATTTAAATCTATGTTTAATAAGTATCAGGATAAGCACACTGCAACGTGGTTTCTTTACGTGGCTTTAAATCGATGGATTGCCATATATGGTCATGTAATTTGTTTCATAAATCTAATTATCACTGTTATCGTTTTAGGTGTTTCAAATAATACAGGTGAGTGAATATATTTATATGTTTATAGTTTATAAAATAAATAATAAATAATATGTACTTGTGGCTTTAGATGACGCAGGAAGCCAAATTGGACTTGTATTGAATTATGGAATACTAATAATAGTACATTTTCAACATATTATTGGATTTACATCTGAAGTGGAATTTCAGGTATTAAATATTTACTCAATTAGATTAAAAATCATAATTCCAAATGAACGGTCAGATTTCTTTATCGGGCAATATCAAATTTTTGAGAAAGATAAACTTCTTGTAAAAGAAGATTTTCTTGTAACCACACTGCAGAAATTTTAATTATTATTTTATTCTACGTATATTAAGAGAATAATGCCTAATAAAAAAATGCTTATGTTGGTTTGATAATACTGATATTATTAAATTTAGAAATGTTTTTATTTAGTTACTCAATAGTCAAAAAGATATTGAAAAATACCGCAAATATTTGATTAATGCGTTTTAATATACACAGTAACATCGAAAAAATTATTAAACGCATTTATCAAAAATGCCGATAGTAGACAACCTATACACAATAGAAAGCTGTTGTAGTGAAATTAGACCTACTAGTTTTCCCTTGAGTGTGGCCTTGCCAGAAGACTTGTACATATTGTACACAACCTCCCAATACAGTCATATTGGGAGGTTGTGTACAATATGATCTATCTTATATATATGTGTTGCTAGATATATATTTATATGATTTATTATTTATTGTATGTGTTTTGCTTTGACGAATGCTAAAGTTAAAATTTAAACAGAATGTTAAAAGAAAAATTTAAAATTAAAAAAAATGTAAGAAAAAATTTTGAATACTATAACAGATACGATTTGAATGCTGGAAAGCTTAATAAAATCATTACTTTTTATAATAAGTGTTTTTAAATCCGATACCTTCAGACTATCGTCTATTGTGCCACATAGCTTTTCTGCCACGATCCACAGATCGATATTTTTAACACTTTTTACGCTTAGCATTCTGCGGTAAAATTCTGTTCTTTACAAGGTAAAAAAATTTTTTACCATTTTTTTCAACGTAAAACCTGTATATTTTTTAAACCTTTGTATGTGTCCCGATTATCCTGTTAGCTGCGCCAATGTACGTGATCCTATATTACTACAACTCCTTTAAAAAAAGTTTAAACAAACAGAATTTGAAACACTTTTTTAATATTATCAAAAAACGAACTTTTTCATAATTACATAGAACAAATAAGAGAACGAGAAGCAATCAAGAACTTTATATTCTACTAGCTGTTACCCGCGACTTCGCCCGCAGAGATTTTCCAAGCAAACCCCATTTATATTCAGTATTTCAACAACCATAGTAATTGTTATATAACACTTTCTGCTGGAATTATGAGAATTGCCGAGAATCAAACGAACAATTTTCAATTTGATCAATTTTCTGGAACGTTTATAATTGTTCTATAATCAAACCAATGTGCAATTACAAATCCGATTTTAAATTTAAATTGATACTATTTCAGACATTGTTATAAATATTTTTATATATTTCGATTTTTTAACCAAATGTTCGAACCGTTTTAATACACCTAATTACTTAATGAAGAGTAAACTTTGTTGAAAACGAAAAGCCGTTCTTAAGGTTGAGCTTTAATGCTCACTCTCTCTCCCCGCTGGGGAATTTAGGAATAACCCTTCTTAGTGTGCCTTTCCACGACGTTCCCTAACTGTGTACCAAATTTCACCCTTTAGGTTGAGCGGTTTGCTCTGGGCGACGATAAATCAGTGACAAGTCAGTCAGTCAGGACAAATAATTTTATATATTTAGATATCCTTTTTTCTTTTACAATATGCATCGCTTTTTAAATCAAATTTTCAAAATATTTTGACACTGTTCTGGCTAAAGTATATTTCCTTCCATAATCTTATAATTATTGTATTGCCGCTGTTGAATGTTTATGCATATCTTTTCAACTTTTTCGAGTAATTTCATCTTTGAGTCCGAATAGATTTTAAAAATTTCTTGCATTCGATTTCTTTTTTTTTGCATTTTTGGTTCAGTATATTATTATTAAATTTTAAATAAAATAATAAAAATTTTTATCTTTTTTACTTTTCTTAAAAACTTTAATTATTACTTTTTTATTTAAATAATTGTACCTTATACAAGGATTTAAACCGAAGATACTTACCTTCTTTCATTTCTTTTAATTATTTTAATTGAAATCTCAGTAAATAATTTCTCTTACAACCTAATTTTTTATTATAAATTGTATTTAAAGCACTTCAACAAACGATAAGAGTTTTTGATCTCTGAGTAACATTCATTTTTGTAGAAGTACTCATTTAAATGGAAAATTATTTACAGATTTTTAAACAGTATTTATTTAAGTTTCTTAAATTAATTTTAGTTTTTCTAATATTTAATTTGAAATTTTTTGGCTTTTATGACATAACAAGGCAAAGTATTTTAATTTTGTAATATTTCATTTTGACATTTTAAAAATCTTCGGTTTTCAGAGAGCTTAAAGTTAAAAAAGTTCTAAAAAGAGAAATAAATTACTGTGTACGTACTAGTGATGCAACGATATTAAAATTCTTTTGATTTTGTTTTTTTGACTCTTTTAAATACTTTTCATAGTTTATTCTTTTGTAAAATTAACGATTTGTATTAAAATATTTACATACATTAATAAATAAATATCAAGCTTACGAATGGAAAATTATTCATTTGAATGAAACCTGAAAATTCTCTATTTATATGTCAATACGTATGTTTTTGTTGTGTATTTTAAAATAAATTAGTAACTTTTTTCAGGTAAAGTTAATTTATATTGCAAGAATACCCTGAAAGAAATTACAGGTAATTCGTGTTTTCTCAAAGAATTAGCCCACCATGTCACATAAGGTTTTCACCTCTGCAAACCGGTTTACAGGATTACTGTAGGAAAAGGTAAATAAGAAGGAAGTGCGCATATTGAACTCCACTTCTTCGGTAAAGCATGTTTGTAAATGTTTTAATTCCGTCATATCTAACACTAAATTTTGTTTGGCAAATTAATACATCACACGTACGGATATCATTGTCACTACGAGTAGCTAACTTTTGAATTTCTTTACTTAATCCAAGATTTCTTAACTTTTCAATTGCCAGAAAGTTTTTTTATGGATCAAACAAATATCTACATTGACTCTTTCTGAAAATTCAACTTTTCATTTTTCCCGCAGGTTTTAAATTACAATGGAGCGTCGATTATCCGAATCAATTGGGGACTGGGGTTGTTCGGATAAACGATTATGTACGAAAAAATAGTTTAACGTATCCGATTAAAATTTTTCTCTGTTGCGTGTCGTTTCGCGTTGAATTTTAAGCCTAACAAAGACTATTGTATCGTTAAAAATTTAATCTTTATTTTGTACAAACAAAATAAATATATTTAAAAATATAAAAACAATAAAAAATTATCGTTCAGAAGTTAATTTAGTATCAAAAACGTAAAATATTTGAGTAGCCTAAGACTTAGCCAAAGATTGCAGTGCACAGCACTGGCGAAAATTTAAATTTTCTGACTAGAATTTTTTCGGATAATTGACGTTTCGAATGATTGGCTTTCGGATAATCGAGGCTCTACTGGACAGTAGAGCCTCGATTATTTGATCCCCGATTAACCGTCATATCGGTTAACCGACCGTCCTAGTCGACCAATTTCAAATGTCCGCTAGTGATGTGGAGCTACAATATTTGGCTATGTCTTGGCTACTTTAATATTATTTTTACGTGTTTTAGCTGGCAACACTCATTCGACCATGAAAGGGAGCCAGTATTTAAACGAAGCTTAATTTTCTAATTTTTAACGATACAATAGCGACGATTATTATTTTAAAAAATTTTTGTTAGGCTTAACATCGATGAAAATTCAACGCAAAATAGGTTAATAGCGATATACTAATATACTAATTACATGGGATATAATAATATACTACACTAATAATGGATTTTTTCATACTTTTCGGTTATCCGACTTTTCAATTAATCCGACCAACCCCAGTCTCCAGTTGAGTCGAATAATCGAGGCTCTACTGTATTTCAAAGTTACAAAGTGTACAAACTGATATTTTATGAAAAAAATAAATTTTTGTGTATAACAGTACATAGAAAAATATAACGGTTTAATAAGAATGGAAATTAATTTAAAATAAAGGAAAACTAAGTATTAACGTTGTTAACCAGAGCTTTACACAAAATATCTGTATCAATAAATTTAATGAAATGCAACGCATAATTAATTTTCCGGATAATATAATTGTTATTTCATAAAAAGTAAATTTTTTAGATGAACTCTGTAAAACGCATTCTGAAATACAGCAATTTGAAATCGGAAGCATCCTACGAAAGCTTGCCTAACAAACGGCCACCATCTGATTGGCCAGAAAGAGGAGAAATTCATTTTGATAATGTTTCTTTGCAATACTCCAAGGATAAAAATATTGCGTTAAAGAACTTAACATTTCATATCCGCTCCGGAGAAAAGGTAAAACATCTGAAAATTGGAAGAGTATTGTTCGTAATTATTGACTGAATTGGTGTTTATTATAAATTAATTGCAGATAGGAATTGTTGGGAGAACAGGAGCGGGAAAGAGTTCTATAATTGCTTCGTTATTTCGCATGACAGAGCCAACAGGAACGATAACCATCGATAATGTTGACATTAAAGATATTGGACTTCGAGATCTTCGTAGTAAAATATCCATCATTCCGCAAGTAAGTAATAATTAATTTAATATGTATAATTCGTATTTTATTACCTCCATACTTTTTTCACGATAAAAATGTTTTTAATTTCTTTTCCGTACAAAAATTTAATTCATCAATTATGATAAAACATGTCTATATCGATGCAGATTGCTAAGCCAGAAAGGTGTAATGTAATTTAAAAAAACTTATTATTCAGTAATATGAAGTAACTTGTGAAATGTATTATAACGTTTAAAATATATTAGAGACACGAAACGACTACTTTTCATGCTTTATAGAAAGTTTCAAAAATATATGTGATTTTATGAATTGCATTTTTACTTTAATACAAATTCTGATTGTGAGACTAATAGTTTCACGTATTTATTTAAAAACTTTATACGAATCCGCATAAAATTATATCTTGATTATGAATGAAAGATGTGTTAATAAATAAATTCACTTTATATAAAATAAACATTTAATTTAAACGAAAATCAAATACACTCAATCTTCGATTTAAGAACTTATTTCATTACAGGAAGTTCTTTGGAAACCGATTTCTTCTCAAACCGAAACAAATTTTCCCATAAGAAACAACCTAAAATGTATAAGTCCATACCAGAACCTTAAAACAAACCTAGTTTTTCATTTTTAGCTGTATTTCATCAGTAAAATTGCTTACAAATACAATATAATATTGTGTATAATATAATATTAACTATAGACACACTAATGTGATAAACAGTTCCGTTTCTCAATACTGGAAGTTTGGTCGTAGGTTCGCGTCTTGCCCAGATGTGATGGTGATAAAACCCCAATAAACTGCAGATTTTATCCATGTCTGTAGCGCCTGAATAGGGGCTAAAGACTTCTTAGAAGACATTATTCCTCGCGTAACGAACATCGTAAACGCATACAACTACTAATAATTAACAATTACGTCGTACTCTATCACGGCGATAGAGCCTAGAAGATCATGCCAAAATACTTGATACAAAACAAGATTTTATCTATATCTACGTCTGTTATATGCATTGAACGCAATATGTTTTGTTACAGCAAACCGTAATTATCATTTTAGAAAAAGTGCTATAAGTAGAGACTGGACTCTGCCTGCATGAAATATAAGCAAATCAATAAAGATGAAGGACAAGTTCTTTACCTATACTCCTTTCAATATATTTGATTATAATTTTAATTTTAGTTTCAATTTCGATGTAAAATCAAGAGTGTTAAATTAATAATTATTTTATTATTTTTAGTTTCAATTAATTGACTACCGATTATTAATAAATATTTAATTAAATGATAACACTATAATATGTGGTATTAATAAATATTTGTTACTTAATTTGAGTTAAGTATCTTAATTATAAATTATCGGATGTTGTTTACATTACGCGAATGTCAATTAACGCGGTTTTTATGAATTAATTACATTTAAATTGAATTGTGATGCGAAGTTTGTGTAATTGTGAAATTTAAATTAAAAAAAAATCAGAAGAAGTATCTTACTCGCATGTCTCCTGAAATTTTTTTTCACTAAAAATGTCATCGATGGTTCGTGTCGTGACGTCTAAAGACAAAAGGCAGATCTCGGCGTCACTGCCGAATCGGTAGTCTTGTAGTAGACTCGACTTTCTTTAACACAGAAAGTATAGGAAGTTGACCATCAGTTACCGGCATTGCCAAGTAGATTGTTCATAAAACGAGTTCTTGTATTGCAACCGGAGCAATACTATAACTCGTTTAAAATGTTGTTCGAAAACAGCGGCATTCGTAAACCGAAGTTTTACTGTATACACTAATATTAATGTTTTAAATTTAATGTTAGTCTATTTATTAATGGCGCATATACACTGACTTGATAAAAGTGTAGAAATTCTATTAGTCTTGAATTCATAAGAATAAATATTATTTATTTGCAGAGATAACAATAATAAAATAATATATAAAATGTAATCAACTAATTAATTGTCATTAAACAATTTATCTGTAAAACAAAAAAAGTCTTAAACAGTCTTCATGAAAAGAAGCCGAGCATTTATAATCGTCCACTGAATAATCTGACATTTTCATATGAAGTGAACAAAAATATCTTTGGACAGACTATGCGGTAAACAACACGGGTAGAAATAAATTCAATCCTGAAAACTACGACCAAGTAGGGGAAATACGTACAAAATGACATAGGCAACATAATTTGAATTTGTCGGTCTCAAGCGCACAACTGACCATGACACCACGTTATCCGAGCGGCTTTTACTAACCTGTCAAAATGTGAACGCACTCCTCTCATTCGCCCGGGCGTCATGGCCGACGACAAGAAATGATACGTTACGAGGTTTTTTCCTCGCAACAAGTTTTTTGTATAGATGGGAAGTTTTTCACTATTTTATATATTCGTATAGCATTTATTTCAACCCTTAAGAATTTGTTGTTGCACTTAAATAACTTTTTCTATTAAAATAACATCTTTGTATTTACTTTATAATTTTGTTTTTTTATAACGTTATATGGACAAAACGATATACATAGGCAACGAACATAATGACATACCTGTCATTTAGTCCATAAGAGCTTAGTCAAGGAACTTACCTTAATCTCTTAACGTTTTATTAATTATAAAAAATGGCTTTAAAAAAAAGTCTTTCATTATTGTTTAAAAGAAATTTTAGTATAAAACTTTATTTCCTTTCTTACATATTATTTACAAACTCATTATCTTTCACATAACAAAAAACTTGCAACGAATCACGTGACTCGACAAACCTTTTTAGTTTTAACTTCTATTCCTAATATAAAGGCAATTAAATCAAAAGATGAGTCAAAAGCTCCGCCAGAGAAAAGGAGACGAAGCATTACTAAAAAGTTACTCGAGGAAAAAAATTTTCCTGATAACTCTCAAAATGATGAAGAAGACTGTCCATGCATATATTGCGATGATCTTTTTTCCCGACCTAAGCCTGGAGAAGACTAATTACGGTGCATAAATTGTTTCCGTTGGGCTAACGCTTCTTGCGATGACGTTTCTAAAAGAGCCAAGCGTTTCATTTGTGAACTCTGTCAGTAATTTTATAGTTTTTACGTGTATGTCATTTTGTCTTTACATAATGTGACATTTTGTCCATAGTATGTCCATAATGTGACATTTTGTCCATAGGGGAAAGACAGTTAATTTGTCTTGCCAGAACCATTCTTCGCCAGAATAAAATTCTTGTTATGGACGAAGCAACGTCCAATATCGATAAAAGTCTATAGTGAATGATCTCGATTAAACTAACAATATTTTTTTCCTATTATTTTAATATTGTAAATGTTTAGTATATTTCCTTGGTAAAAAACCAAAGATGATTGGTGTAGAATAAAGAGTACCTAAAATAAAACTGTATGTCATTTTGTCTGTATTTCCCCTACATACACGAAAATCGTTAATGTGTTCGTTTTCAATTCGATCGAAAAAATATAATCAGTTGATTGATAGCAGTTGACCAAACAAATAGAAACCTGCAGCACTATGTACTGTTTAGAATTCTACAGAAGTTCTGGCAGAATTCGATTCACACATAACTTATTAAATGTTGCAAAACACAAACATTGCTCTATACTGATTTTACTTATTGCCAATAAGCACATTTAACTGGTCTCTTAATTAGATACCAATAAAAATATGAAATCATATTAATCGACTAATTTCTTAGCAATCAGATTAAATTTTGAAAGTTCAATCTTACCCAAAATGTTTTAATACAAGACGCGAAATGAGTTAATCTTAACATTGTTTATTTGTATATGCTGTATTACATCTTGCCTATTCTACGATGATCAGTGAAATAACGTATTTTAATATTTATCTTCGTTTGTTTGTTTTATTAAGTTATGGTAACAAAACAATTGAGTAATCTGTCTAGGGGGTGCCTTCCGGGAGGACTTTTTAAGTTTTAATAGTAACTGGCCCCTATTTAGGCCAAATAGACATACAGAAAACCTGATAACTCTATGTGGCAAGCCTGTCCGATCGCGTCGCGAACCCACGAACGACAGCCCAGTGTTTAGGGACAGAAACCGCTTGGCCAATTTTGGTAATTTAACTCATATTATCCAATATAAAAACGAATTGCAAAATACAGTTACTACAGCGTATGCATATATTTTTTCAGGATCCTATGTTATTTACCGGGCCACTTCGAAGAAACATGGATCCTTTTAATGAATATTCTGAAGAAATGCTGTGGAAAGCCATAGAGGAGGTTACAATTAAATCAATATTTTTCAATTCCCTTCCAGATTTTTCTCTTTAAACTTTTTTCTGATTAAATTCAATTTACACATATTTATTTTTATAAATATTTGAATTAAAGGTACAATTAAAAGAAGTTATTAGTAAATTACCTGGAGGATTGGATTCGCATTTAACGGAAGGAGGGCGAAATTTCAGCGTGGGGGAAAGACAGTTAATTTGTCTTGCTAGAACCATTCTTCGCCAGAATAAAATTCTTGTTATGGACGAAGCAACGTCCAATATCGATAAAAGGTTAGATTATATAAATTATTACATAATTTCAAGTATAAATCAGTTTATTTTGTAATTTGTGTTACATAGAGAATAGTTATCGGTATAAGTTTGGTATAATTAAGATTGTGTGATAATCACAATTATTACAGTACATTGCCATTAAGCCACTAATGAATCATAAATATATTAAGTGAGATATGTTCAAAGTATATTTTACCTCGTTTCTTATCTTTCGTTTTTTCCAATTTTGTGTTTGTCGTAATTAGGGCAAGTAAGGGAGAAACACGTTTTTTGTGTCTACAAGCCGAACAGTATGTATTCAATATATGTATTCATATTATGCCATGCATACGAATACATATATTTATAACACTGTATTCATATCGTGCTGTGTATATATAAATATAGTAATAGAAAAAGTCTTGCATTGTCAACATGGCAAACTACATGGTGTATGTAAACATTTTAGCTTCCTCTACTTAATAAATTTATTTTATATCTGTGAGAACCGAGGGGATATAGTGCCGAGCTTCTCCCCATATATAAGCTTCTTTGTCAGGGATGTTCGATGTGTTATTAAATAGGAGGGTCAGCGAGATCGTAAGAAGGTGTCGATCGTACTCAAAGATAACACATAATTATATATATAAGAATAACATATTTAATTATGTAAAGCTATACAAACGATTACAAGTCAAAAGGCTACAAAAAGGGAATAATTTAAAAATACTTCTAAGTCGTCTAATTCTCTAACTCTATAAGACATAATATTGTCTAAGTTCAAGCTATGATCGAGAGAGAGACGAGGAACGAGAGAGAAGGGATCAAATTTTCTCTATGTGATTACCTTTCTTGTTCTCGCTCTCGTCAAATTGGCGATGGTAAGAAATGTTCCCGGATCGGCGAACTCTACTCGTAGTCTCCCTTCTCCTCGGTTCTGATTCATTGCAGATTATGGCGGGAAGGCAAGGGTTGCAACAGATGTAATGGCGGTATGGGTTTGGTGTCTCTCTGATGTCTACTGGTGATGTCCGCTGTTGGTGTTTGCCTGGCTGTGTCCGCTCAGCTGTGTCTGCCCAGTGGTGCAAGTGCGACCCCGCTTTATACACATCCCGGAAGGAGAATTATCGTTGATAATCTGATGCAATCACATATAAGTTCGACTTGCGTCAAGAGTTGTTGACTTTACTTGTCATGAATCGAACTGTTCTTTTGATTTATTACAGTTTCTACCTGTTATTGTGACACTTTCTCATCATAAATTTCACAACAGCTGTCAAACCTACAGAATTATTTGCCACAAATGGCTAATGTCAGAACATCTGCGAGCCCACCTGGGTGATAATTGTATAAATATGAGTAACTTGATATATTTTTCTATCGTTTTAATCGGCTAGCATAAGGAGAGGGGATGGTTTATTCAGTACGGTCAACGATTTAAGTTAACCTTTTTGCTTTCCTCTAGCATGTAACAGGTGAAGGTTCTTGTTAATTGGCTACTTATTTGTACATTGCAACGAAGATAGAAATGGAGAATCTCCTGTTGTGAAAGGATAACTTCCTCGGTCGTCCTAAACGTTTTTGAAAGTCTAGAATGTCACATTTCGAAGCGATGCAATACACTGATGGGTCAAAATGTCTGAATACAACCGCCAGGAAAGTGGAAAATGGCGGTAAAAGGAACATAATGATGAAAAAACAATTTATAATGTCTTAAGCTTTTAAAACTCCCAAAATAGTCCCACTTCTAACATATATAATTTTACTTAAAATTTGATATATTGCATTTCTAATATTTTCAAATAATTTTTTACAAAAACTGAGTTCAGTAGTCAAGTATAGAAAATATCATAAAGATTTAAGAAGAAATTTAGTTGCAAAACCTACAAAAATAAGCATGTCTTAGTATGAATAAATTAACTTTTATGTAATTTCTGTGTCAAAACTTTCAGATTACAGTGATGGGTAAGATCGTGTTGTTTTCATTAACACCTGCATAATCAAAACTACTTTGGCAATATCGTAAAAGTTTCCACTGGTCTGTGATAATAGAAATAACATTAAATGCTTTTTTCATTTATCAATTCTCTTATGAGAAGTAGCTGTTGGGGGTTCGGTATGCATTTCGAGAGATCTATGAAACTACTTTATTCGATCAAGTGTTCGAAAAGTGTTTATTATTGCTTGTATGTTACTTTTCACGGTTTCCAAAGATCAATACATTGTGCAATAGCGAACAATGTATACCTTGTAAACTTCGTTAATGCATGTTCGAAACGAGTTGAGCTGCATTTGATAGTGCAAGTTGGAAAAACGAAATTAGAAGAAATCAAAGCTTTAATGATTGATTACTGTTATCGTGTATGTTTTTTGTGTTCATGTCAGTAGTGAAAACCCTGAATTAGGAGGAACTTCGTAGATATGGGTTCGACATGCAGCACATCATAGGAATCTTGTAAATGGGATCAGATACCTACTATATATAACAATAGAATTAAAGAGTACAATACTCAAATCGGGTGTTGGTCAAAAGTGTATTCAGTGAGACTATAATCGCAATATGTAAGGGACATGTTCAATTTCACGTTTTCAAAATACAGTATTTTCAAAAAAGTTATCATACGTTTATCTACTTGCAATTAGTATGATTTCTATTTAGGCATTGCTTGCTACCTCTCTATTTTTCAACAAGTCTGACTGTCAAACTGATAGGTAAACTTCCCAGTAGTCTATTACTTGGTCATACATTGCTGAAAAGTAAAAATGGAATAACTACGGAGATAAAATCAGTACTTAAAAAACTGTTACATATCACTATAGAAACTGTGTGAATGATCTTCTCAGAAACATCACTTGAAAGAGTTATTTCATGCAAACATTAATTAATGGAAGAAAATACTGTTTTTAAATACGTATATTACATCGACATAACTGTATAAAGACATCAATGCAGAAGACGTTCAATGGATGCAATACTTTATAGGGCAGCCACTATACATTCCAATCAAAAGGGAATGCTTCTTAAATAATATAATCATTGTTGTAACAGTTATCACTGTAATAATTTCCCACTGATGAAGAACTGCTACTTAATAATCACGCTAACGTATATAATGCCGACCATATTTGTATGCAACATGTGCAGAAATATCTAATTATTTTTTTTCAAAATGTAGATAAAGTATTGTAAATTACTGAAGCAATAGAACGATTGCATTGTCTTCAAATTACTCACGATTATTTCATTATGAATGGAAGGCAGAAATGTTTTGCTAAAAATTTTTTTCTTCCTGTGAATGATTGCGACATTTAGCAGCAGATTTTTATCTGCTGCTGAGTTGTAATTTTACATTGACATTTAGTGAAGAATAGCAATTACTTTAGGCTTACAGAAGCATAACAATAAATTTTCTAACATGCTTTTTGGGCATGAACTGTTTTTCCTATCTGATATAATGCTACTATCAGTTAATTAAATGAAACCAAACCAGGTTGAACGTTTTTTATTTCAGAATACAATTATTGTCTGTTTATTGAGAAAATCAACAAATTCTAGTACAAATGTTCTTCAGGCATCACGTTTTACGTTATCAGAATCAATATTAATTCATATTTACAGATAACAATATCCGTTTTAGAGAAGCCGTTCAGTGAGTGTTTGCCGTAACATCCTATATGATGCTACAGTCTGATGTGAGCTGCATTTAAAAACATTTGTTTTGTCTTGCCCGTACTGACTAGCTATAGGTTGTTAGAGTTTCCAAATAGAGAGTAAAATAGTTGAAGAATAAAATGTTTTTTTTTCATTTTATTACCTGATAATTGTTTTTCACTTTTTGAAATACAATGATTGGCCTTTCCTGAAATGAATCAGAACTGTTTGTACCAGAATTGTCTGCTGTCCTAAGTTGAACGATACATATGAAATAGAATACTCAACCTATCTCAAACGAAATTGTCTACAGTAAGTTCGCTAAGTATAGTTTGTTATTATTACACTAATATGGCCTTAAACTTTTGTCTAATGTAAAATTACTTGTCAGTAACATATATCATTTATTACTATATTATGGTTAACAATACTAATCTTAACTCTTACAAGCGTAATTATTATAATTGCCGCTTTACTGCTTTCCTCAATAAATCTGTTCTGATATTGGATTTACTGACATTCACCACCTTAAACATGATATAAACCTATCGATCGGATAAAGATGCAGGATGATGTTCTTAAGTGTATATGTCTAATTTGGTGTGAATTTTCATGGGTGCAGCTTCGTCTTCTTCGTCTTGAAATGGAAAACATTTGATGCAGGATAGTATACAATCATCGTTATCGTCTAATTGACTGATCGACTAGATTCGTTTTTTACAAATACATGTATTTTCTTATCATGGCTTAATGTTGCACCTTCCCACTTGATGCTATTTTCTCGATAGTTTTCCAGCTTAGAAAAAAAATCACAATCTCTGACAAAGTATGACGTTTCTTCCAAAGGTTTTACAATGTCGGCAGTGTGTTTTAATTTTCCTATCCGTGAATTTCCTCACATGTTGATGGGGTTTAGTAATGTATTTTTTCACTTACTACTTGCTGGTTTTCGCTATTACAATTTTAATTGTTTGTGGTACATTGCCATATGGGGAAACCGTTTTATCTATTTTATTTATTACTTATTTTTATTTATTTTATATGAAGAACCGATTCCTGTCTACAGAAAATAATTCGAGAAAAATTCAAATCTTGTACGGTGTTGACAATAGCCCACAGATTACATACAATTATCGATTCGGATAGAGTTCTGGTAAAATTCTTTCTTTTAATAATATAAAAATAAATACCCGTTATTAATTAGAGATCTTAAATTTCTAGGTATTAGATACAGGAAGAGTACAAGACTTTGACTCGCCGTATGCATTACTGAAGAACGTAAATGGTATATTTTATAATTTGGTAAAGAAGACGGGAGTAACTTCAATGAATGAGTTATACGAAATTGCCAAGGTTAAATACTACGATAAAGAAAAGGTAGAGCAAACAAAACTATAAAACAATGAATTTTATTCTATGTATAGACTGTGAGGATCTGGTGTTATGATTTTTTTTGTTTAAATTACTTTTTAGAGTGGTATTTCCACACATCACATAACATATAAAATTGTAAAAATCTAAACATTTGTTAGTATATGCAAATTTTACGGTTTAATTTATACATGCTGATCTTTTATTGAGATGCCATCAGCAGTTTTTTAAAATAATATAGTGAGAAATGTTTACAATAGTTTAAGTTCAGAAAAGAAGTGAATTTTAATATATAAAACAACAGAAAAAAATTTAATTGATATAATTAAAACAAATTTCGTGTACTACTTTAATCAGAACAATCTTAGCCAAGAATATAATTCCAATTGTATGTATTCTTGAAAAACTTGGTTCACCGTAATAATTAAAAAAAAATTATATTATTCAAAATGTTTTAGCATTTGTTCTATAAGGGTGTGGGAGATATGGGGTTGAAAGTTGTTGACTTCTAAAATGTGTAAAATTGGAAGTGTTAACAATAGAAGTGTTGACAATGGAAGTATTAATAATGGAAGTGTTGAGTAACAAAGGAAGTGTTAATAAGACAATATAACCACTTTGTTTTACTTTTCCGGCTGTTATCAGGCCCGTGTTTGGTACGTGCAAGACTTTGGCCAAGAAGCGCTTGGAGGCCCTTTAAGAAATTCGTAATGGAGGGTTAATGTTTATTGATCTTTTCAATTAGCTTTCTGTGCTAAACTTATTGTTATATTTATGTTTAATAAAATTTATCAAACATATCTTTTGATTGTTTACTATTTAGAATAATTTTGCTACTTGTTGTTCCATTCAGTTTTGCATATTTTTGAGGTGTCGAATGTTAGGATGCCCTCCTTCAATGTCTGGTGGTCCCTGGGCCTAGGCCCGGTAGGTCCACATTTAAAGATAGACCTGGCTGTTATGTTTAGTAGGAAAATTTATATACGAATTTTAATAGAATCATTTAAAATAACTTCGTAAGCTAATTATTCGAAAATTTTAAAAGTAATTTAAGTGTTTCATTGAACTCAAAATATCTTGATTGAACAATTCAAAAGTGAATTTTATTTAACATTGAAATGTGCAATTAACTATATATATATATTCTTTAGACTTATTATTAATTTTTTCCAATAATTTATAATTTCATCGATACATTTTATCCTTGTTTTTCACGATACTCAGTAATTTATAATGTCATCAGTGTTAATTATTCCTGGCAGGATAAAGACTTCTGCTCAATATTTCCTTTCTTTTGTCAGTGTCTTTCACTGTCATGTCCTGATTTTATGTTTCAATCATTCTTTGTCCGATTTTTCTCGTTTCGTACTCTCGTATTTATTTCATTAGTGTTTTTGTTTATTTTTTATCCGTCATTCTTTTGATGTGTTCTTCCATTTTGCTTTCTTGTCATTCTTTCGAAGTGACGGGAGACAGGTTTAACATAATAAAATAACAGTTTATTAACTATAACAAACCGTAAGATATACACATCTCTATGCGGCTAAATGCGATTATTTTATTGACTATTACACAAGGACAGCGAATAATTTCTAAGTTGTGTCGCGTACCTAATTTCTATTTCGACAGAGAGTTTACAAAGTTTTCTTAACATACATAGTGAAGATCTTATTGCCGTTCTTTCCCAACTCCGTCTCGTTGAGTTGGTTTCCTGTGTATTACGACTCGATGTAGTGAATCAGGTTCGTTGGAAAGCACACCTGCACACTGAAATTGAATATATTTACAGTTTATTTACAGTAGTAGAAAGTACAAGTGAGAAAACATAGTATATGTACAGGATAACCATGCGTGGTGAATTCACGTGCCAGATTGGCGTCTGGGAACTAATAGCCTTTGGAGAGACCTTAGTCAGCTTGTGGAGTTGGCTCAACTGCACGGTCGGTCCGGTCTCTGCACTAACCCGTCCCTGAGTTGATTAACAGAGAAGAACACTTTCTCAACGCTCAGCGGGCTTCCCAAGTGCCTGAGACTACCGTTTACCAGTCTCTTGCAGACCAATCACAACCCTTTTTTATGCCCGAACAGCTTACACTCGAGTCCGCCGTCATCCGATAAGAGTGGAGCTTACACAAACGTCCGCCACTTGTTTACCTTCGTTTGTTTACAATATGGCAAATTTACTAACGTCTGACTGAAGGTGGGTCCAATTAACAAAGTCGGCGCTTCCTTTGTCATCTCTCTGTTTACAAGTCAACATCTTACAAGTGGTATTACCCGTGGGTCCAATTGACAAGGTCGCGCCACTTTTGTTCCCACTCTGCTAAGAGGTGACTATTACTTTACATACATAATACTTCTCAGTCATAATGGAGAATTGTACGGCACGATCCAACGATCGTGCCGTACAATTCTCCATTATGACTGAGAACAGTCGGAACACTTCCTGGAACAGTCGGAGCCGCTGAAATGTATTCCAACCTGTGTCTTCTTCTTTGCCTGGATCGAGTTTGATAAATAGAGAAGACAGGGTGAGGAAATGGGCACTATCACCAATTATAAATTCTAGTTCGATCGAGCCACCGGTAGCTCAGGCTTTTATTCACTTGTGATGGCAGAGGTCACGCGATTGCCATGTTGACGATGACAGCGCATTTTCTGACACCTATGTGTCAATTTTCCCATTTGATTGCTGACAATCGGGGTGACATTCGATCCGAACTATTCCATAGTTTTTCTATCGGGATGTTTACAATTTTCTTCGATAAAATTTGCCTTACATTGTTTTCTCAGTTTTTCCTTTAAAAATTTGCGGACTTTACATAAAAAGTAATATGTTTGCCATACAAAACAGATCGAATATAGTGCGGTTTTCAAGCGAGATATCGCAATTTATCAATTATTTTAATGATTTACACAAAAATATAATTTTTAATTTAGATTTCCAAGTATGGGGTCAAATTAATTAATTGATATATACTCGAGTATTTTTTACACCGGAATTTTCAAGATATATTTTTAGAAAAAACAAAATAATCGAGTAGTTTCGTTTGCTAAATGCGAAACTTCTCATAGCAAACCGTTAAGTGTTAAATATAAATGGTGATTTTTCAGCCAGCAAGAATTTTTTATTGTTATAATTATTAAAATTTATTTCAAATAAGAAAATGAAAAAGTCATGTATAATAACTCTTATAAATTTTTATTTGTATTTTTCTTTACTCGAACCTGGTTTATTTATAGCACTTATTATTCTGGTGAATCTTTTGTTTTCGTGTAAATAGAAACATCTCCTTTTGACTTTAAACTACGTTTTCTGCTATTTGGTAATCGAAATCTACATCAGTATAATAATGAACAAGGCTGAAGTAGGCAAGAATACGAACAGAAATTTATAACTTTTTGTTAAATAGTTACCTTAAGGTTAAATAGCAAATAACAAAGGCAGATTTCGTTTTCCTTATGCTTTTAACAATTAATTAGAATATTCTACTTTTTATGAGTAGAATATTCTAATTAATTGTTAAAAGTTATTGTTAATAATCTTCTACTTAATTGTCATTTATTTATAGTTATTAGTTAATAAACTCTAACTAAAAACTAATTTACGAAAAACACTTACATTATGCAAATTTGTAATTTAACACGTAATGTTAAGACAAACACGTAATGTTAGTAAAGTGCCAACTTTGATCCTAATTATCACAAAGAGCGATTAACAATTTGCATGAAATTCAACACAGTGTTCAAGATAAGTACTCAACACCTCTTCAGTTTTCAATAAATTCGTTGAATAGATGTCTACTAATTAATACTGGTGTACTGTTAATATTTGAAAAGTCGTCTGTGTTGATCAGTTCCGCATGTAATCGAAGTTGATAACTTTAATATGTGAAAGATTTCGTGTGACTAGTTTCAATGAAAAAAATTTCTAAAATGCTATAATAATTGCTTTTGTATGATAATAAAATGTTTATATTTCAACAACAGATTGTGTAAAGTATGTGGATATATATTGTCGTAGATATGGCGTTTATAGAAAAATTATTTTGCTGAAATTTAAAAACAATATTGAAATATAAATGTCCACTGTCGTTTGTCTGCTGTTTGTTTTTCCTTAATCTCGAGAACGGAGTTAGACACATAAAAGAGTAGACAGTAGGGAGAAATGGGTTTGAGCTACAGTGGACGTCTTCCCATTCCGCCTTTTCGATTTGTCATAATAGTTATATTAAATTTTGTATAGTTTATGCATTTTATTATATCTATTTCATAAATTCTTGTATCATTCGTTTCTACTTACTAGCTATCACTCATAGTGATAAAGGTTTTGTTGGACGTTCGAAGAAGAGAGGGAAGTTAAGGCAACTTGGACAAACTGGGACCGTAGAGGAAAGGCGAGTAAAAATTTCGAGAAATATGCGGATATAATTTACGGACCATAGGGTTCGAGCGTATCCTAATTATATGTGAATTTATTATAGCAGCTCGTGTCTGTGTGGACGGGTAAAAGGCTTTAGACAAACTCGTACAATGACTGGGAATCACGAATTTCGCTGCATTATATATTGCGAGTGTTTACTCGAGTTTTGCTTCATTTGCAGCGATTGTATAAGTAAGTTTGGACTACAATTTATCTAGAGTTAGATCTGTTATTCCCCGCTATAGGTTATATATTACATACATATATAAATTAATATCCCGTTTAAATCTTAATTAATTAGAATAATTCGAGTTCGTTCGTCGTCTCGTTTTCTCTCTTTTCACACATGTTTTGTATAAACAGGATAGTGCAACTTTTATAAAGTAATTTCTGTATCAAACATTACAAATTGTTAAAAAGATTAAAATTATTACCATATATTTCGGCAGATAACACAAAAGTTAAATCATAAAAAAAGTTTGTGGGCCGTTCTACGCATTCTCCATACTTATCGTATGACGAATGCGTAGAACGGCTTTCTCTTGTATTGGGAACTGCGTTGAATCGTATGGCTATCTGTCCGAAATCGTATCGAGAGCTCCCTCGAATGGCAGGAAAATTCTCCTTTTTATCCAAATCGACGGCCTACAGCCGGCCAAGTCTCGTGTGCAACCGTTTCTGAATCAACTTACCAGTGATTAGAGAAAGGAAATATACTTTCTATCAAAATCGAAAGTTTTTAACAGCCGTTGATTCGAAAATTTGTTAGTTACAAAAATTTATTTTTTATTGAAATTTAAATTGTTCTCTCTCTCTCTCTTTTTTTAATTTGTTTAAAAATGACTTCTCCTAATTCTAGATCTCACACTATAAAACTTCGACAAATTTTATGCCTCGTCTTACCTCATGGTCGTCTTACCTGCCGAGACATACTGTAATTTAATAAATAGAGATTTTATTATAACATTCATT